CTTCCTCAACAAAAATTAACCCGGGGAATGCCACCACACACTCTCTTTCCCTCTCTGCTAACCGGAGATTTTCAGACAAGAAAAACAAGCGAATAAACACCATACCACGCAAACCACCTATCACATCCAGCAGGGGCCGAAACTGCAGATTCGCTTCTGATTCACGGAGAGCAAGGAAGGGTAAAAATAGAATGCAGGTTGAAACAGGTTGCATAGACATACCTCAGGCAGGTAGGTACCGGTACCCACAATGAGGGATTTATTTCATCGCGTCCATACCGGATATTTTAAGTAAGGAGGGGGTGGGTTATGCAAGGGGACGAAGGACAAGCTTTTTGGGAAAAGGCTTGTTGGGTCTTGGCTCTGGATGAGAGGGTTTGATCTGTCGACTAACCCTAAGGGTAACCATAACAACCGACCGGTGTGGTAGAGGTATGTATGTATGGGTCTGCTCGGGATATGGTGGGTATAGTTGGGTGGTTGTGTGATGAGGACTAGAGGGTGGTGCTTTCTGTGGGTATATACTACTTATCTATTAAGTTTGATGGGCTTTATCGTGATGCTTTATCGTGAATTAGGGATATCGCTGTAGGTTCTCGGATACATTTGAGAACTTGCTGTATTGAGTGAAGATCTACTTGATACCCTTTTACCTCTCTTTTCGCCTTTTCGTTCTTTTTTTTCCCTGTTATTGAGTTATTCTTTGGCTAAGTAGCATGGTTATTCGAATATTTGTATTTTCAAGGGACTGAAATTATACCGTTGCGCACCGCGTTCCGGCGATAGTTATTGCCAGCATCCTATGCTTTATTAGACAATAAAGAATAGCTGTGCTCGATAGGGTAGACTGGAACTTCTCGGGCGGAAATGTATATTGTTGGAAGTGACTCTCGGGGTCATGTGCAGTCGTACATACATCACAGAGCACATGAGCTGAGAAGTTGTCTTCACATGACGGACCTCCCGCAAACGAAGCTGCACTATAGCAAGTACTACAAGATAATTATCCCGCAGATTATACCCAGGAAGGAGTGGCGCCATAACTCGTCTGCTACCGAACGAATTTTTGACATCCGAATGTCGCATTATGGTGACACTAGCCTAAGTATACGGGGGCTCTGAACTCGGTGAAACAGCATTGGTCCGGCGCACACAGATGAGCAAGTATCCCATGCTAATGCCTCTGTCCATCGCAGTCACCAGCTCAGTGTGGGGTTTGATCAGCTCATTGGGAATAGGCAGACGACAGTCGGCGGTAGTCTTGAGGAGAGCTTGACAATCGCTTACTTCGTCTGCAGTGTATGTGGTCGATTGCTCAGTTTGCTATACCCACCACATTACTATCACAACATCGCAAGAAGATGAAGCTCAGTAGAAATGCCTCCTAAAGGACCGGAAGAGGTTTTTGAGGGCCCTGGTTCAACCCTCAAGGAGAGGATATCAGTTAGGCTGGTTTAGGACACTTACGTTTACCACTCGCCACTGAAACCCCAGCCTTATTGACTTGAAGTTGAGCTTGCTCTCCTGGCTGGGTAGCTGACAGATGTTCAGCAATCTTCCAACATGACCGTGAAGCTTGACTCAAGCGACCTCTAGGGCATGGAAGAGCGACAGAAAAGTGATCACTGTGATGTGTAATGATGAGACATTGTGGTTTAACAAGATACGGATATTCTAAAACTCCTGCTAGAAGCAAAGAGATTCTGCCGGTATCTAAACCCTTTAATGACAATGAGTCTCCTGAGTACCACCGCATCCTCCGAGCGCAGGTTGACGATGAGCATGTAACCAGATTGCACTATGTTGCATTCAGTCCAGCACTTCTGTAGAACGCCCTTTCGGCCTTGAACTACCATATGAGCCCTTACAGCTCCTTCCAAGGCTAGCACAGGGTTTCACCAAGCGACCAGGGCGGTTCGTTTCCACCCAGACCTAGCCCATGTAGCGAATAAAACTAGCACCGTCACAGTGTCACATGTCCAATAGCCAATGTCAGCTTAGCACGTCCTATTTGTCAGTCTATCGGAACGCATGAATTTGTTCGGCGTATCCTGGGTGGCATCCTGAGCATCTTTTCTTTAGTCAAGACATGTTACAAAGTAATGGAAGCAGCAGCACGAGCTGACATGGTGGATCTTCTGGGCAAGATAGTGATGGGTTAATATAACCTTGGACCCGGGTCTCACAATGTACACCCAGAAAGAACATGGCGCCTTTCTCTCGTCCATTGTCAGGGTTCTGTAGTGTTCTCGTGGCTCAAAAAGTGCTCCATCAGACACACTCTCTGCCTGTCACTGCCTTCGTTTCCTCGAGCTCATGAACTAAGTACAAGACGCAGACCGAGGGTATTTGACCGGATATGCCGGGGTTCGTTCTCAAGGCGACTGGATATGTGGAGCTCAACATCTGCTCTCCATCACGCCACAAATTTCTCAAAATAGGCTGATGAAGCCCATGTGGCGGCCATAAGACGGTTTATATACCTCGGCGTAATGGACCCGAGCAGACTTTGAGGACTTTAGACAGTTTCTATCCTATGAGGTGAGCAATATAATCCTACGAACTCCTTCTGCCCCACAGGGCAAGTGGGTCGCGTTCTCGTCATCGCTTACAATTCGGAAAAGCAATCTCCGCGGTACACAAGTGAACCCATTGTTGACCAAAAAAGAAAGTAATACAATAAAACAACAGAGCTTCAATGGTCTCAGCATGGTCCTTTGAGGGAGTCTTATGGGTGCACTGTGCCATACATGAGCCGTATAAGCAGAATTACCGGGGTGTTTAAGAGACATCATTTCATGTCAATGACAGCGTACGAAGAGGATATTTGTCATGTTCCTCGAATCATTCGAGAATGTGTCATCGACTCATCCCTGGTAAAAGACTAGTTAGCCGTTTTCTAGCGGTCCATTCTTTCCCTCTTTTCTTCTTTTCTTCTTTTTTTCTCTTTTTTCCCTCCGGCTTTCTCCTTTCTACGACATGCTATGACAGTACTCTGTACGCTTGAGAGGTATCCACTCATATTGTGCTATAACCAATAATAGTATTTCTGCTCAAACTGCGGCGTAGCCATATGCGACACTACAAGTAGGGCAAATGGGAATCCAATCTCCCTCGTCGCTAATACTACTGATATTAATACGAACGAGCTTGCCACAAGTTGACTTTCGGCCCTGCACTGTTGAAGTTACTCTAGGCGAGACATTCTTCCTGCATGACCCCTAAATACCACCCCCTAACATTTGCTTATGATATTGTTAATAATGTCAAGATCCTCCTAAAGTCTATCTCGATATTGCCCTTACTCAATCTGTTCTAGTCGAGTGGATCTCAGTAGGAGGCCTACCGGACAGTGCGAAGTGGGCCAAACGATGCCTGATAGTAATCAGATGGGAGATTTTCGAGGGGCACCGGTATTTGAACGTTGGTTGACATGTACGTAGACGTATATGGAAGTTTGGTACGGAGTACTCCGCCGATGAGACGCCCCTAGAAAAGCACAGAGACATAAACAGAATCTGATAACGTCCAGGTTCTGTTCAATTGATGGAGTCGGCAGCGCGGCAGTAAAAAGAGCCGATTTGATTTGTTTGACTTTTTCCCTGGCCCACTCGCCAAGGACGCCCAAAGAGGCTTAGGGCCATAATCTACAGTATGGGCAGCAACCTGGTGGCATGATCCTATGCGCCTCTGTTCTGCTCATCCCTGACCCTGAAGCGGATACAGCGCCCACAATCCTCGGGAGTCGACTCTGCTATCATGCAAATAAGCTGGCAAACAATAGGGATCAGCATGGGGCTCCGGTGTCTAGAATCTCTCCGTGTGAGACCATGGTAGTATGACTATGGTGCCACTGGTCAGGAGAATTCTTGACTCGAGTCGTGGACACATTGAGGTCAGGACTCAGCTGTGCCTCCCACCGATCTACACGTTCATGGAGCTTCTCCACTCGCACGATCCGAACGTGCCAAGGGTTATCTGACAGTTCATAGGGAGAGCAGCACAGACGTAACCGAGATAGTAGCATGCACAAAAAGGGCGTCAACGAATCACACCGCAATCAACCAGCATGATGGCGGGATATCCGAGTGGCTGAGTTAAGTGATTTAGGCTACGGTACCGAGGAATGATACTCCGAGATACCTCATACGTCCTCCGTACGGAGTACTAATCGCGTCAAACCCTAGCAGAGTCATTAGTGGGTCCACTGTCTGGAGCCTGCCTTCTCGGTGTGCGTATCCTATCATCTCAACTCTCCAGGGATCGGGCGTAGCTGAACTCTGGAGTCTGGCCCAGCTCCGTGGGATTCCAAGGTGGGGGCGGCCATTTGTCTACTTAATATATTTTAATCTATCGTTCCAACAAACGGCAGGTCATTGGCGCTGTGCCACCTCGGATCGTGTTCGGTATCGCACCAGTGGTGCTGACCATGCAGGTACATCCGCTTGGAACCTAATGCCCTCTACGTATAAGATCCTAGATCGGAGAAAATCTTTCTGCGGGGTCTCCCTACGCGTGCTCGCTTGCACTTTAGGCTGGCATACTCGTCGGGTCATAATTGTGGACCGCACTGTCAAAGGCCGGGAGAAACTCTGTGTGCGCGGATTTATTCGAAAACTCTTGCAAGCCATATGAAGCTTGTTTCATAAACAGCATGGATGTCGAAGGAGCTGTCAGTTAAATGGCCCGTCTGCCAAAGTCAGATTAGCCCCTGGTCAACTTCACTTGGCGCACTCCGCAGGAGACGGAAAGACCCGGTTACTGACCTAAAATCCTTCAAAAGATCACATGGGTCTAATAAATATAAGCTCTGTCTCCAGCAGGGAGAACATACAAGTAACATATGTGTCCCCTGTTACTGTCTCTCTCAACACCCCCTTAGGATTGTGTATAAACTGCTCTCGACGGACGCATACCATACATTTCACGGATAAAACCCTTAGTGCACAACGGCTTCTAACCAGTCTACTCTAAACAATACATCTCACATCGATCTAAACATGGATCCGGTTGCCCCTGTGCAGGAAGATATCAGGAGGGTCGGGCGGAAGGAGCTATACACGGATTTTGGAAAACGCATGGAGTATATAAAGACGTTCCTGGATTTCACAGACGGTATGTTTGGGCAAGCAGCTGCTTTCTATCTTACCAGCAAACACAGACGGCTTATCATTACACACAGACGACGTCGTAATATTTAATAAAGGCTCAAAATACCTGAAAACAGTTATTCCGGAGCTCACCCATCGTCTCTACGAGAAGATGCTGGAATTCGATATCACAGCCCGTGCGCTCCGCACTCGAAGTACTACGTCCGAAGCACAAATCGAGGACTTGTTCACAATCGACAGTCCTCAAGTGCAACGGAGAAAGATTTTCTGGAAATGGTATCTGACCAGATTATGCTCAGACCCCGGCCAGCCTTCGTACTGGGAGTATCTACGAAAAGTTGGGTGAGTTGTTTTCGACCTTTCTAGCCAACAACCCACTAAACCGGTCGAAAATAGGGAAATGCACACAGGAAAAGTCTTGATGCATCCATTAACAATAGAGTACATCCATATGAATGCTTGTCTTGGCTACGTGAAACAGCTACTGTTTGAAACAATCTCACTGCATCCAGAGATGACAGTCAAGTTCAAGTTCGCTCTAATCAGATCTATAAGCAAGGTCTTCTGCATCCAAAACGATCTAATCTCCAAATGCTACATAAATGAAGGCCAGGAGTTCGCAGACGAAGCATTAAACACGACCAATAAAGACAATGCACCACCCAAAGGCAACACGGACAATGCATCAACCACCACAGGCACCACAGATAATGCGTCAATCACTACGGGCACCACGGATACTGCATCAATCGCCACGGGCATCACGGACACAGCCTCGACCACAACCACAGACACAGCCTCAATCACCAACAGCGAGGTATCCTCAATGCCCCAGGACAGACAAAGCCACCCCCATTGCCTAATCCCCGGATTCAACACCTCGAGACCCAACTCAGCAGGGGATACACAGAGCTCAATCTCGCGAGACAGAAACGGAAGCGTCGATCTGGACCGAGTGATCTCGACAGCCGAAACGGCAGTGTCCTCTGACCGCCCATCCACCTCCAGCAGTCATCTAGTCACTCCCAGCGTTGTTCCAAATCCATCAGCATTCGCGTCGCCATTTGCGGTCGGGCATATACATAACTTCGAGACGAAAATATGGTCTTCTGGGATGAAACAGAAGGGGTCCGGGTACAAGTAAAGTTCCCAAACTGAACATCTTGATTACATCCCGAAATACTTCGGGATACCGAGTGATACGAGCGCGGATCTGCGAATCCAAATCTTGAGACCCAAAAGCAGTTACCGGATGATGATTTCAATGAGTGACTTGAAAGTGCATCGATAGGCTCGTTTTGGAGTTTGTGTTTGGCCATTATCTTATCACCCATGTTGGTTGTTGCATATTTCCCTGTTAGCACTGTTTTTTAGTTATATACCTCTGTTCGTGTTCTCTCTTTGGTTTAAAAGAGGCCCTCCCCCCCCCTCCCTTATGTTTCTTATTGTTTTAGCGAAAAAAAAAGCTAGGTCCTATTGCTTACTTGAGTTCTGTTTGAATCTTTTATATACCCCACATCCAGCGCGTACTTACCGTAGCAATGGACTCCCCTTAGTACAACATTTATGGTATGCTTCTAAATGTCATTATTCTATGTTTAAAAAGATCAAATACAATGTCTACAGTTACGTGGAAAAGGAACATCTAAAGATATGTGAGAGGAATCAATTTTGTTCTTCCAATGTGAGTAGCGCCATGGATATGGCGGAGGTATAATGCTCTATTCTCAACAGGTATCACGTGAATCATATGTGTACATGTTAGTTCTATTCATTTATTTATACTTGGCCATAAATTCGGAGTGGAACTTGACGATCCGATCAGCCCAGTCAGTACCAGGGGCCAGGAAAGTTGTGCGGAAGTGCAGAGTGTTCTCCTTCTGGCCGAAGCCGGAGCCGGGGACAACACAGACACCGGTAGCGTCGAGAAGACGCAGGCAGTAGAACTCGTCGGCGGCACGGCCTTCGGCCTTGGCAGCCTCAATGGCCTTGGGAGGGAGGGTGATGGTGGGGAAGAGATACATGGCACCCTAGATATGAGCCACGTTAGTTATGTTCATAGGGTGGAGTATCGTGAATAACATACCTGAGGTTCCTGGCACTCGACGCCCTCCATCTGTTGGAAGGCCTTGTACAAAGCAAGGGCGCGCTTGTGTAGTCCCTCGCGGATTCCATTGTACTCCTTCTGGTACAGCTCATAGCTGCCCTCGCCCTCCTTGGGTGGGTTCACCATGAGCTCAAGCAAACATTGTCCAATGACTGGTGGGCAAAGTCCAATGCTCACAAGCTTGTAGATCTGAGCCTGGACCTCAGGGTCAAATCCAACCAACTCAAAGTAGCCACCACGCTGGCCACACTCGCCCACCATGCCCTTGGACACACTGTGAAGAGAGACCAACTCCACATAGTCATACTTGCCTGGTGTCTCCTGTTGCAGCTGACGAAGCCTCTTCTTGAACGAGACGAACTCGCCCTGGAAGACGTTCGTCTGGTAGACCTCGTCCGCGATAACCACAAGCTTCTCCTCCGCAGCAAGGTCAAGAACATTCTTGATATCCTGGGGGCTCAAAGAGGCACCGGTAGGATTACCAGGGTTGATGACTACAATCGAACGAACGTCAGTGCCGGCAGACCGGGCCTGCGCCAACGAGCTACGAATGGCAGCCACATCGGTACCCCAAGCCTTTTGCTCTTCGAGGAGGTAGGGTACACATTGCGCGTTCAGGAGAGAAAGGGTGGCAGTGTAAAGAGGATATTGAGGAATAGGGACGAGGACACCAGCCTGGGGGCTGTTGCAAATAACGTTGAGGATGGTGCTGACGCCAGACGAGGCACCAGCGCAGCAGAACAGATCCTGAGGATTGGCCGGGAATCCATCACGCTCCTCAATGAACTTAGCAACACTCTGGCGGATCACGGGCGCTCCCTGGCTGTGACTGTAAGCACCAACGCTTTGGACATCTGCCAGGAGCCTCTTCGCCCGGTCAACGACATCTTGTTCATAACCAAAGGATGTGCGAAGTGCTTCCACGTTGTTCAACAGATGGGGGTTCTCGAGGAGACTAAGTACTTGGCGGAAGAAGGTGATGGGTTTTTGGTCGAGCTGTTGGGGATTGCCAATGTTGGCAAAGATGACACTGTCGAAAGGCAATGATTTGTCTCCATTGGCCAGTTTCACACGGTACTCCTCGGCCTTGACGGCAAGCTCACCACGGACGGCATACTTGGCCTCCTTGACGTGGGGGTTGATGTTATCAGGGTTCAGGCAACGACCTGGGGTGGACAAGGTGCGCGTAGTGCTGTAGGACACTGTAGTCTGAGTCGTCATCGCGGAATCTGAGGGTATTCGTAAAGGGTCAGTTGTCTTGTTGGATTGAGTCGAGCGCTCGCCCGGATGGAGCATCCATTGGACATTTATATGGCGACCCCTATGAGGGGAAGGAATGACCATGCATGTGACGAGGTGAGGGGAGTCCTTTGCTTCTGAGCGGGTGACAGTTCAAAAATACAGGCAGAAAAGTAACTAAACCGATGTGGCATCCAATGAACAGGTGCAGAAGGGATCGACCCCGTGGGACCGAGCGATAGATTTCCGAAACACATACCTGAAGAAGGCCTGAAAGCCCCGGCGGGGAACCTTGTGCTACAGCCGTAAGACGCCCGCGGAATATGCCACGGGCCATTCGGCCGGGAAAGTGAGCATCGTAGCGGAGATGCCCGCACGAGTCTTAGCTGCCAGGTCATAATGCTCTTGAGGCAATTTTGTCCCGACGTGATCAATTGCGCGAATTTTGTCTCTCGACCGTGGGGATTCACGGGTCACTCAAGGCGCAATTAGTCAAAAATACCACTTAAGGTCTTGTCCAGCGTTGCAGAGGCCAGAGAGGGTCCAACGGCTCACACAGTGCAGGGGGAAAAAAGAATTCCCAGGGAAATCGGCTATCGCGCGAGAAATTCTGTAGGCGGTGAGTGCCGATCCGCCGCTGACTCATCCAGGGAATACGAACTCAATACAACGGTACAAGGCATGGTGGGGTGGATGAGAGCAAGAATGGGGGTTCACTAGTGGAGAGAGACATTGGCATTGTCAATCATAACTGTATGGCTTGATATGGTTTGTCAGTCAACCCACAGTGGAAGAGAAATATACTCTATAGGAACCAAACTATCGGCATGGATATCGGAGTACTGCCCCGTACCTGAAATGCTACCCCACGGGTACTCCGTACTCCGTTGACCCTACCGGTGGTTCCCGTAACCGGGGAAGGACGGAATCTGGCCAGATTCGAATCTCTCTTAATCACCGATTCACGGGCTGATCTTCCGATTTTCCCTTCAGTATACATACACATGCCGGGTATGATAAAGCGCAACTGTGGACATAAAGCTTATTCCGCATTGGCTCTGTTCTCAACAGATCTGGGAAACAATGGCTGTCTGGAGCGACAAAAGAAATCCTGGAAACTGACGCATTTGATGCCAAGTCTTCCCAAATCTACGTACGCAGCGCTTAAACTCGGTCAGCCCACATACCGTGGAGGTTTCCTAATCGCATGATATCCGATTACGACGTTTCGAGGTCAGAGTTGTCTTCGTTCATTAGACGTATGATACAGCAGCCTCGCTTGCTTTTGCTCTAACAGTAATCATGAGGGCAATATTTATTAAATGACTCAAACCATCATAATCCTGAGGGATCCTTTGAAACGTTCATGGGTCACAGGACAATCCAGAATCAGGCCATTCCCTAAGAGTCGTCACCATCCACAGCTTCAGCTCCGCTCACTTCCGCGCAGTCGCACAGCCTGGCCATACTTCTGAAGTTTCGTAATCAGAGCATCTCCATGCTTGACGACGTCGGCATACTGTTTGTTCTTGTCATCTGGGCGGTTTGTTTCGATAATGCCATTTACTCGGTCAATAGTGCATGCGATGCGGTTGCTAGCGATGAACTTGGCCAGATCCCTGCAATTGTTAGTCAATATGATTACTATGCTTGAATCTGGCTGACTAGAACTTACCGGTCCAAAAAGTCCACCGTAACTCCAAAGTCGCTGGCCATGCTGTTCAATCCTACCACTCGGTAGCTCTGGAGAAGCTGCTGGTAGGCACGGAGTCTCATCTCGCGGACAAACCAAGCGCGGTGTTCATACAAGTACCGGTCCTGAGTTAGGAAATTATCTTCGACGGCCGCCAAGGCCACGAAGAACGACCGGTAGTTGCCATTATATAGACTGCTAACCAAGTCGGCAAGAGGCGAGAAGTCCACGGGGACTTCAGCCTCAGCTTGGATCCCGGAGCCAGCCCCCAAGGTGGTCAAATTAACGGCGGTCGTAGCAGCACCTGGAGTAGCTTTAGATGTAGAAGCATCCTTCATTTCTTCGTCCTTTGCACCGGGCCCAGACGACACCTCCCCTGTTAAAGCAGCCACCCGATCCTCCCCGGACCCAAGGATAGCCTTGATCTCAGGTGCATCCACAACTTTAGCTTTGAAATCGACACGCTTCAACGACAGCGAACCTGCGAGAACGGAGTAGATGACCAATGCAGAATAGCTGCATAGTTCGTAGCTCGTGAAAGTAGACAGACTGTCAAGAAGTAAGGGAGCAGCGCCGCTGTAGGATCGAATTGTAAGCAGGTGTAGGCCTTTATACGCCTTGAGACGATTCCTCCGATCCCAGTCACCGCCGCTCTCAATAAGCGTGTTTGCCCGTTCAATGTTCTTTCTCACCGACAGGGTGTCGCCAAAGAAGAGTCCAATACGGATCATAGCCAGCACCAAGTCAATCTTGGTTCCTAGGAATGTCGTCTTTTCAAGGAGTGCTTCATGAGATTCGATAGCTTTGTCCTGTCCGACATGAGCGGTGTCAGAAAGTATAAGTGTTGGTATCCAATGTAACATCGCCACTGACCTTATCTCCTACGCGCGCCCAGAATTCAGCACGCTTCCCCCGAGCCGCAAGCACCTCGGTGTCTCCGGCTGCTTCTTCCGCCTCGTCCTCTTCCTTTTGGAAAGCATCCAACTCCTTCTTATTATCCTCGACTAGCGACTGGTATAAGGATTCATCCCATGGAAAGTCGCTCTTTTGGGGTGACTTTCGAGAGGCCAGCATATTCGAGGTGATCAGTGACTTGGTTGAGCTGGCCTGGTGCTGGGGAACGCCTTCACCGGAATGGTTCAGGATACCCTCAACAGGGTGGGCAAGATGCCTGTAGAAAGGCGCCATTTTATTCTCGGAGATAGCATCCTGGACCTTTTTCAACGACGTTTGCCGCACTGTCTGCGGACACGATGGGTTGGAAAGGTTGAAGACATGTTGGGCGAGGGTAAGATCGGGGAACTTGATGTACTGCGGGTCAGACCCCATGCTGGCGACGGGCGATGAGAACTCGACGGTAAAAAACGGTTATGTAAAGGTGATATGAAAGAAAGGATGGGTGGTGAAGAGTTGACAGATGCGTTTCCAGTTTGCTTATGAATGAGATACCGGAAGAGGCAGATCCATCACATAGCCAACCTACGTAGCTGACCCGAGCTCAGCTGGCGGAATGATTTTCCAGTCCCGACACTGTCACCACCACTGCTATCACGTGAGCTGGGCCATGCTCTCTGGGCATTATATATCACTACTAGTAATAAATACCTATTAGCTACATCGAAACAGAAGGGACTTTACTCGCAAAAAAATATGCCAGCACTAGGCATTCACTGTTTATTAATTATTCTATACGAGGAACATTAAAAGTAAAGTGCAAGAAGTCAAGCCCTAAATCGAAGAAGCTCTTGCTATTCTTACCTAGATAATAGTGCATGTTGACCTCGAATTTGACGTGGGAAATTTTGAGCTTCCAAGAGATGAATTCTCATGGGGAGCATCAAGTGCCGTCTTATTGTTCGATTATGGAGGGGGAGTATTATCAGATAGTCTAGCAAACGCTACTCACTCTATCCGAGCCGGGGACGGAGACAATGATGTGGCCTCGCTTGCTCCCTTTTCGGTATTCTTTACTCGGGTCTTAAATTAAATGGCCCCATGTCCCTATTTCTTTGTTTCTGGGATCTAAAAAGTTGGAGGGGAGATACTATACAGTACAGGGGTATGTACTCAGCTGATCTATCGGTCTTGCTTTGTCCTGGCTTCGATGCAGCAAACAGGGTGGGCAATACCATACTGTGTAAAAAAAAGAAAAGTGGTAAATCCAGGCACGTGCCATGGGGCCAAAAGAGCGAAGTGTAACATAGCAGCCGTGCCAGAGCACCTTCTTTGTAGGGCTTGGTCCGCCTTTCGATAGGATTCGACTCGAGAAGTGGATCCATTCTAAGAATCAAATAACGAGAATTTCTCCAATAGCATATCAGCTCGAAATCTTAGGAAAGCTTAGTGCATTTCTTGACAGAGTATTCTAACAAGTTCCTCGAGAGATAAGAGCTCCACTTTTTATACACCTGTCCAGTGAGCTGGCGGCATTAATTAATTAAGGTATGTTAGTCCTACTATTGTATGGAGCAGAGGGGCTGCCGCCTGGTAACTTGAAGTCGGTGGTGATGTTGGCTACTAAGGAGGCACGAGCCGAGGGCTGTAGGGTGGGAATACCAATGGTACCTAGTAAACTAGTTATAGTTGCATTTACTAAAGGGAAATGACCTGAGCGTTCACGTTTCGCAGGGTTTCTATCAGGTGCTCTGGTCTTTCTTTCAATTTTTTCTCACTTCTAATCCTTGGTTGTTTTTCTTCCACCTTTCAGCCTTCTATCATCTCTCCAATATTCGTGTAACTTATCTCAATATATCTCCTGAATAATCTTGCTTGTTCCCTTGATTCTTAGCTCCGACTTTTCGCAACGTCGAAGACTAGAATATCAGGTGGCTGCAGCGTTCTCATGGATCCACAAAAACACCCCGAAGAACCGCCTGAGAAGGCTATTGCTTCTACTGGTGCTATCGATGTTGCGCCGTTAGAAAATACTATACAAAAGGGCCGCTGGGAACGTAGTTGGCCTACCATTGCTTGCGGTGCAGGTCTCTTCTCAGATGGTTATCTCAATGGCGTATGTCTGACGCTCCCCGGAATAATTTGTCGGGTATGATTGAGAAACATCATTCTGAACTAAAAATTCAATTAGGTGATCGGATCTGTCAATACAATCCTTGGTAAAATCTACCCGGACTCATACACCAACTCGCCCGCCAGCCAGAACGTTTCTTCCATCACATTTGCAGGCACCGTACTCGGTCAGCTTGTTTTTGGATATGTCAGCGATCATTGGTCGCGCAAATGGTCCCTGATGATCTCAACGATAATTCTGATTATATTCAGTGCCCTGTGTGCTGGAGCGTACGGATTAAATGGCAGTCAATACGGCTTGTTCGCTGCCTTGACGGCTTATCGTTTCTTCCTGGGAATTGGAATTGGTGGAGAATATCCAGCCGGATCTGTTGCAGCTGCGGAAAATACAGGCGAACTCAAGAAAGGACATCGGAATCGGTGGTTCATCATGTTCACCAACTTTCAAATTGACTTTGCATATGTTGTGTCCGCCTTGGTTCCTATGATTTTGGTCTTGATATGTACCGAGAACCATCTGCGCGCTGTCTGGCGCATAGCCCTAGGATTAGGCGTGATCCCACCCCTTAGTTTGTTTTATCTGCGATTGAAACTGGAAGAGCCAGAGGAGTTCAACAGGGAACGTATGCATAAGTTCCCTGTCTGGCTGATTATCCGGTAAGCCATCACTATTATCTATGTCCGGTGCATGTACTAAAGCGTCCGTTATAGATTTTACTGGAAGCGCCTGGTATGCCCCCAGCGTTATCACTTTCACATAAGCGTCATAAACTAACCACAGACAGACGGTGGTGTCCCTGATATGGTTTATCTACGATTTCTCGGCGTACTCCTTCAACATCTACTCCTCCAAGTGGGTGGGTATCATCCTGGGAGATAGCGCCCCTCTCTGGAAGACCTTCGGCTGGACCACTGTAACCAATGCTTTCTACATTCCGGGCTCCTTCTTGGGTGCTCTTGTGAGTGACTGGATTGGGCCTCGCAACACGTTAGCCATCGGGGTTGGCCTTCAAGGAGTTATCGGTTTCGTTATGTCAGGTTGTTATGAGTATCTCAGTATCCCAAAGAATGTTGCGGGATTTGTCGTAGTATTTGGGTAAGATAACCGGTCCATTGTTATACGCGCGTCATTTGCGTCTCCTAACTCATGGCTACAGTATTTTTTCGGCTCTCGGTGAGTTCGGACCAGGAGACAATATCGGGCTTTGTGCTGCAAAGTCCAGCGCGACTGCAATCCGAGGTCAATATTACGCCATAGCTGCGGCTGCTGGCAAGATTGGAGCGTTTGTCGGCACTTATGTCATTCCTATCATCCAGAACAACGCGCCCAATGAGGTCCGTTCCGGTCAGGATCCTTTCTTTGTCTCCAGCTCCTTGTGCCTTTTGAGTGCTGCATTGGCCTACTTTCTGCTGCCACATATTGGACAGGTATGGATAACACCCTCTCATACCGCTTCTCCCAATGGAAAGGCGCGACTTATATCGTCGATTAGGACACTATTACCGAAGAGGATGAAAAGTTCCGTGCTTTTCTCGAGGCCAACGGATATGACACCTCGACGATGGGCAACAGAGAAGCACAGTAGCCGACTTTCACCATTTGCATCTCTTCCTGCAAATCCGTATGTTCGCAGCCCGACCCCTACTTATCAAGATCCAGCTCCCTTGTTATTCCTTGCGACATGTTCCACAAAGAGACGGCCCCTGCAACATCCGTGACCAATAGGCCCCAGAAGCAGTATGTATGACACGACCGGACGAGAATTTCCCTAGCCTATGTTAGGCCATATCAATGCCCTACTGCATCGCGTGACAGTACCCCCCGTGCGACCCGCGACGGAAGATGGCTCGAGTGCCCAGAAGCGAGATATATAGAAGCTCCCATTGCAGCGAAGGCTCGAGTTGATGATATATCACCTTCATTGCCATGCCCCTGATGTATTATAACTGTGACCCATGGTCATCATGGAGAACGTTAATGACGATTACTATATTTTCCTCTGCGAACGCAACACACCCTACCCGCTATTATACTTGTAGTAATTGTGTCTGATCGCTCTTCAAGTATGCATTTTATCAAGACAAGCAAGATATGAGAAACTGTTATCCACGAGGGCTGGTTTTTGTTTGACCCTGTATCGTGTCACACTTTGATATGGGAGAAAGACAGGCTAAGAAGAGAGGAAGAACGGTGATAAGAGGGAAACAAATGGAAAAGGACAAAGAAAAGAAAAGAGAAAGAGAAAAGAGAATCTAGAAAGATCGGCGAGGAGTCTGCTCTAGACTTAATAAATTAGAAATCAGTAAACAGGAAGCAAGAAACCAAGTAGAAGTTCGTAGGAGTTGTCGCCATAGTAGTACTGCCTATTGCAGAGATACTACCTAGAAAGGCAATCGAGACCGGCAATGGTTGGAAGGAAGGCCGTGAAATCTCCGAGATTGTGCCTTTCCTCGTCTGCACGAGCAGCCGAGGTTGAGGGTCAATGCCCGACGCCAGTTCCTCCAGCCGCTTTCCCCGGAGATTCAATTACCGACCACCTTCCATTAAACTCTCCCATATCACGCCAACGCCGCGGCTGCCATCCCTTTTCCTTCTCCTTCTTCTGCATCCTGGCTGTGAAGTGCCGTTTCCTGTCTCTCGACATTTATAAAGCTACCAGCTGGTCTGTGGTTATCGCTGCCGTCATACCCCTCTCTTCCACATCCCCAACACGCCGGAACACATCTTCCGGCTTTTAACGATACCAAAGACACCATCCGTGCGATCGTATTAATATATAAAATTCTCTGCCAATATGGTCGCTGACGCTTTGGCTTATCATCCTACCTTGGCGCACTACTTGCGCTTTGTTGCTACGACTGGTATGTGGTGCTCTTCTCCCTCTTCCAAGTTCCTTTGTGCGGTTAGAGACCGAGGCCCCTTCATGTCGTTGCTGCGTCTACTCGACCGCCCACCGAATTATGGGAAGATAGAAAATGAAATCGTCACTGAAAATGTTTTCTTGCGATATATGCATATGAGCTAGTTCTGATGAGCATACAGTGGGTCGTGACAAAATCCTTCGTACGCTGCAATACTTCTCACGCTTTTATGCCTGGTACCTGTATCGCACAAACCGCCCGCAGTCTTCTATCGACCCCTACAATGCGATCAAGAAGCAGTTCGGTACGACAAGAAAGATTCTGAGGATCGGAAAGTTTGCCGAGCACCTCAAGGCAGCAGCTGTCGCTGCAGACAACAAGAGCCCCATCGACCCTGTTCTCCGCTATCTAGCTGTCGGTCGCCAGCTCGGTTACGCCGGATATCTGACTCTGGATACTATCACCGTTGTTGACGTTATCGGCTTCCGGAAACTTGCTGCGGCTAAGCGCCTGCAGGATACCGCCTATCGGTCATGGTTGGCTGGATTAATTTGCAGCGCTATTGCTAGTGCCTACTCCCTTTGGAGACTGCGGGAGAAGGAGAGGACCCTTGACCGCACCGAAGGCGAAGGCGTCGTGGAGGCAAAGAAGCTTGAGAAGTTTGTGCACCTTAAACGTCTTGGCATCCCATATCCAGTAGCTAACCTAGACTTTCCAGGGAACGTTCCGCTGCCCGCACCCAGCTCTTCTCGGACCTATGCGACTTGACCATTCCTGTTTCCGGTCTGGGCCTCGCCAACCTCGACGACGGAATTGTTGGTATCGGAGGTACAGTCAGCAGTTTGCTAGGCGTGGTATCTCAGTGGCGGAAGACCGCATGAGCGGATAAAGTCAGGGGATTTCTGATTGAATTCCATGAGGCTGACAACAGATGGCATTGATCTATCCGTTGATGTCTACGTTGAGGGGGCGTTGTGTATTTCTTACACTTCGTCGAACCCCAGCCTCAGAGTAAGAGTTATGGTGTATAGGTCTAAGTGGATCAAAATTTAGGCGAACGCTTGTGTGGAAGGATTCGACAAGGGAGACGCGATCTAGTAGTCTTCGGTTTTCATGAACATATTATGTACCTTAAGAGTTTATTATATCTGTTTAACATGGCTTTTTTTTAGTAGTTCTTCCTACTGTGAGTAGCATATTTCAATCTTTAGGAAATATTTGTTTATATATATAAATTTATAAAATTTTGAATTAATAATGCACTCGTACATCTTCGCCAATTCTTCTCACTCGCCCTTGTAGCATGTGATCTTTTTTGTTTCACATGAACTTCACATGATTCTGCCAGGAATTGTTGCAGCCTGAAGGTTAAGGCAATGTAGCTGGGTCTCGACGTAGGAACTTGAGTTCAGTCACCAAGCAAACAACAGGATAATGCTTATATGGCAAGTAACCGACAGTTTATAATCCACCTCAATGCTTCAAATATGCAACAGACGTGTTCGAATTCCTAGTCCGCGATAATGCATGCTCAGCAATAATTAGCCGATATGGAGAAAGTGGCTGTTTACAGCACATATTTCTCCGCTTTTATAATAGATGATGTTGATCACAGACATATGAAGGTCATGAAATGCGACAGGACATACTTTCCTAAACAACTTAAGATGCGTACAGGAGCTAATTATCAACAGGGGCATCTGGCATTCCACTGAATCAGATCCTAGGGAGCATTTGACAGTGGATTTCAAGAAACGATGCACAACATGTTACGGCTCATCATGTCTACAGACCAGAGGAAGAAGCCTCTAAGAAATGATGAGAGCGAGCAAGCTTGGCCTAGGATGGCTTATTCTACCACTAGAATACTTTGATAAGAGCGGGAGAATTCGCAACCCGATACCTAGGCCAAAAGCCCTGCTAGAGAATTGGATCGAGAGTTTAGCCGGTGATGACAAGGCGCAGTTCATAATGTTTTTGAAAGGAATGATGAAAATAGACCCCCACAATCACCTAACACCAAAACAATTACTGGCTGAGCCTTGGCTTCAAGATGGTAGCTGTGGTGATTGGTTAGCAGACTAGAAAAAAAGAGGAAACGGACACGATCCTGAAGGAAATAGTTCAAGATGTGATCCCTGTACACAGCAAGCACACCTACGTTTCTTATTGAACATCATGGTGCTAATATCATTCTAAGCTCAGTTGTATACTCAACTTGAAGTGCCTTAAAGATATCTTGACACATCGATTGATGCGGGTCTTGCATAAGGAAATGGGGACGGCGAGGAACATTTATGATATAGTTAATTCGGCCTAACCTACAGAGTCTACTCCGTACCTAGAATAAGAAAATGTGTCGTCCCCTTAGCCGATGCCAGATGATAAAAAGTATAACTCGCCAACAATACTTCATACCTCTGATAGACGGATCACCCCTTTTATAAGAGTCCGAAACCCCTTGAGCTTCCAATAAGAGCTATCCACAGTGGCCAGCTAATAATTATTCCTTGGCCATTTGACACTCGCTCAGTGCCCAGACCGGCTGACCCTCGAATTCCACATAAGAAAACACCATTTCTAGTCATCAGCCCCATCGATTGGACAGGCGACCTCATGGAAGCGGACATCAATCGAATCCTCATTATTTCGGTTCTGGAGGTAGTCGTTCTGGATCGTCAAGCCCTTGAAGTTTGGGATCCCATTAGGAGGCTCGACTTTAGCAATTTCCAATGTAACGGGGTACCGAGTCCCCATCATATTCAGTTCATTTTCGCTCTGCGACATAGCCTCCAATGCGTGGTCATCATCGCGACGGCCCTTGAAACGGAGATAGTAGTAGTAACTGTAAAATCCAGGATACGTGTTGCCGCCGAGGTTGGTTGCAATCCAACTTCCGCCGTTGGTCACGGTGCTTCCTTTCGGATCCCACAGGTAGAATTTCCCACCGTCTGGCACCCATTGATGTTGGCTTCCGTCTTTCAAGGGAAAGCCTCTGGAATACCATACTTGGAAGATTTTCTTGGAGCCTCCAAACTTGTAGTAGCTGTATACGCCACCGTCCGAGCCCAGAGTGTCACCACGTCGGTTCTCGATGTAGTAGCAGCTTCCATAGCGCAGGCCCAGTGCGCCCGACAAGGATTCCTCTTTTGAAGAAGGCTTGGTCACTTGGGAGATCAGGTCATTAAGATTGGGCCAGTATGGACTGAGGCTGGCAGGTTCGGGGACACTGATTTGGTCAACCTGCGGGCGATACGGACTGGCGGAGGCTTGGCCGGCCAAGTTGGAAGCCAGGAGAGCATTTAAAACGAGGTAAACAGATGTATGCATCTTGAAAAATCAACGGATACGTGGACTAACAGCTCTTAGTTGATTGATCGTAGGCGAGTGGGATGTATACCCTACGGTAAGAATACCAAAAGGAAGGATGACTGCGGGCTTATATATTACAGACAACAGCATAAACCTCAGAATTTCTACTCACCAAAAAACCGAAAACTACAGTTTACCCATGGTAATTATTCTTGTTGCGATACAGACAGCGAATATTATTGTTGGGTCAACGACGTCATGTGTTTCCCTATAGGGCTCGACACCTTCCGTCTTCAGCTCAAAGTTATCTCAATCAACTGTTTGCGTATGATTTCTTCGTTGAATAACATCATGATATTGAGATGATATATACCTGACGTGGATGAAATGTGAGAGGTAAAAATGAGGCTACTACAAAGAGTGTGAAATCGTCATTGAAAACCTTTCTTGCGATATCGACACTCCGCTGGAGTCCAGGCCTCGCCCGGTCTGGACAGGCTATTGCACAAAAGTTTGACGCACTTCCTAGGAAGAGTGGTATTCCATAGAATTCACAGCGCGTATGTTCACATCTTGCCTTTCAGTTGTGACTGAATGCTTAGAGCTGGGACGGGCATATATTGCTTCCATAGGAGTATGCGGTACTAAAGAGTCGTTATACTACTTTTCTGTTCACTCTAACGACAGGCTCTATTGCGTATATAGTCCCAAATGGCTGGTTCTTTGTGTATTTGTACTGAAAAACTGGACACTAATGGTAAATATGTAAGTTTATCAAATGAAGATATTCATTTTCACCGACTTGGGGGAAATTACAAGTACTAGTGGGTTTATTAGGGCTATAGCTTATGGGATTTATGCGACAGGGTAAAGAAGAGATACTCTCTACCTTGTCACCTTGTGGGAATCATTCGTGGTAATATGTCATGCGATTATTGCGATTATAAGTATTATTCCCAAAACATTGATCTTTTGAGAAGATATAAATGCACAGAGCTGTCGTACTCTCAATGCAGTATGCACTAGTCCTAATAAGGTTCAGGTTATGATGAACCTGCGACTGTTATGAATTTTTGTGTCTGTAGTAACTGGCTATATATCCACATTAATCTAGCTGTCTAATAGCCCAGTAACAAGAGATAGGCTAGTTGACCCAACTAATATTCTTAGACAGTGGTATGTAGAGCTACCTTCGCCAGTGCGAGCGTTACGGAGCCATCCTATACTGACCTTCGCGATCGCTTGCCCAATGGCTTGATATCTCCAGTGAAAGATATAGGACGGAGCAGTTCCAGTCCCGCCCTTGCTAGTGGCATAGAGAATAGAGCGCCTCCAAGGGAATAGTTGATCCACGATCGGATGCATACAGCAAAGCCACGGCATGACACCAGAGCATATGCCTGTGAATGGCCCCATGCCACCGATTACGATCGTTGCCCGTGCCAGGCCTATCGTCTGGAATTTATTGGGGCGAATGATACAGGCAGTAGATAATGTAGTGCGTTTCATTCGATGCGCGAGTCATTATTTGGCGCTCCATGACCGTCAAATGCACATATGTAGATCACTCTACCGAGATATGCCAGCTAGCCCTAAGTATTCGTACGAACCTAATTTATTGCCTTCCATCTTGAGTGGGAAAACTGCTTGAATCAACTTATCAACATGATTGCAGAAGAAGGAAATCTCTAGAGATAAATCACAACATCACTCATCGATGTACTATTTCTCTTCTTTCTCCGACCGTTTCTATCTGGCTCCTAAGGTAGCAACAGCGTGTAGAAGCCCCTCCCTCTATTTTACACACCTATAAATATCCATTCCAACATCGGAGCTAAGGCAATGCAAGATCCAATCTAGATTCAACCCATCTTATAAATGGTTGAATATCCAGATAAGGAGAAATATCTTCCAATTATACGCGACATCTATTGTTTTGTTGTGTTGCAATGTGATACATCCAAGGTGGCTGGGTGGCTAATACCAAATTTGTGTCCGCCTATTGCAGCAATATTGAAACATGTCTGGTATGGCGCTATCGGTGTAACACCATTGGACAATCCCCTGGCTCTAGACGGTCACCTCCTTACCCCTGCTGCCGATCACAAGTCAGATCACGTCGATCACTATCAATATGTCTAGCCAAGCTTTCTCGCGCCGCGATGCCCCTGCAAGGGTGCGTGTAAAAGGTCCACTCGGGTACGCAAGCCCCTGAGCTGTATGTTTCGAGACACTTGCAGAAGGATGAATGGCGGCTAGAGCAGATAACACAATACGCGCGGGTGATTGTTGATCATTCTTGATCTAACTTTATATCATACTCCCGAAGATGGAAGCGCTTCCACAAAACTGTTGGTATTTTCTTTCACGTAAAAGGAAATACAGTCGTGATCAACCTACGCACTTAGTGACATTCATTAACAACCTGAGTCAATGAAAGCTCCCAGCAGGCTAGGGATATTCAGGGGTGTCTTACGCTCAACTCAAGAGCCTTAAGAATTACACCTTGGCCGCAACTGTCAATTGAGACAACTCATATCATTGCTTGGGTTGGAGCAGAATGTTACACCCAATCCTTGATGTTAGCAATTTTAACATTGTACTCACCGTCTTGAGTATGTCCATACTGTTTTGGGAGAGGTAGCTTGATAAAAGACAGCTCACATTATACTAAGGTCTCTATATCCTTCTTTACGGCTATATATCTCTGCAATTCAAGCAAAGATGGTATCTAGGTGAAGCTCGTATGTAGCACTACTACTATAGTATCGGCGATAGCTAATCTTGCACAGTGCCTGCATTTCTTGTCGGCATCTCTTTTGGACCTTTTGGCGCCAAGTTTCTAAATATCTCACAATGGGGAGGAGAGGAAGCTGAAGAGCGCAGCGAAATCACCTATGTAGAGTCTACCTTGTAGCGTTATGAAGAATACGACTGATAAAAACAGGCATTGACACGCTTGGTTATCGGGATCCAATTGGTTAAAGTCGGATACCAATTGCCAAAGCGATACATAAAGCAGCGCTCCATCGAACTCATCATCTGTCTACTTCCCCTCATGGGAATAGGGTGGGTTATAACATCTTCATGCATTATGCTCATGGTTCCTAACCTCTCATTTGTAAGTGCCGTCGCTGTCAACGCCCTTTTCACGTTATAAACGCCAGTACTGATAAACAATGCTCTGACACAGGTCGCTGCGCTGATCATCGGCTCATGCGTGACATGCACTGATCCCGTTTTATCACAAGCAATTGCCAAAGGTCCGTTCGCTGACAAGTACGTCCGCCGGCATCTCCGTGAATTCATTTCTTCTGAGGCGGGTGGAAATGACGGGCTTGGGTTTACCTTTCTATTGCTGGCCGTCTCGCTCCTGCGGTACGCTGAGACTCCTGCAAACACCGAAAGTTTAGACGAATTTGATCTGGTTCGGGGAATCCCGGACGTACTTAGCACCTCTGATGTCGGTCGCTTCGGCGGAGGTGTCGGTAAAGCATTGAAGCATTGGTTTGTAGAAGGCGTCTTATACATGATCGTCGTAGGAGCTACGTATGGTGCTCTGATAGGGTTTGTATCTCGCAAACTATTGGTCCTAGCCCTGAAGAGGTATGTGAGCTTCGGTGATTATAGGGAAATTTTGCTGACTTTCACACTAGGAAATGGATTGAGAACGAAAGCCTCTCCCTTGTACCGATGGCTATTGGGGTGAGTTCTATCTAGGTGGCCGCAAACAGCCAGGCCTAACTTTCTGTAGATGTTAGTCGTCGGCACATGTGGTTGTGTCGGCTCAGACGAGACCCTCGCATGCTTCATGGCCGGGAGTTTCTTGAATTGGGATGGCTTGTACAATTCCGAGATGCAGGCTCGTCATGACACTTTTAACTCTACACTCGAAACCCTCCTAAACTTCGGCACCTTCATGTACCTCGGTGCCGTTATGCCATGGGAACAATTTCATATGCCCCACGACACTGTGATCACACTCCCGCGCCTACTTGGGTTGGGCTGTCTGATTCTACTTCTTCGTCGAATCCCAGCAATCCTACTTGGATACCGCTTCATGCCTGCCGTCTGTAATGACTGGACTGAAGCTTTGTTCATGGGTTACTTTGGCCCGATAGGTTAGTATTTCCCTGTTTTTGCCTCCAGTGCAGATCCTAGAAACTAACCATTTCTTTTAATCACTAGGTATTGGCGCAATCTCATATGTCGAATATGCCCGTCGACTCTTTCCCGAGCCCGGCGAAAGCGACAATGAGATCAATAACTTAACCGCAGCCATGACCCCCGGTGAGTAAATCGAACTCTCTGAGAGTGAAAAACAGCCGCTTATCAAGAAGCAAGTCGTATACTGGCTCGTCTTCTTCTCGATCCTCGTTCACGGTTTATCCGTCCCTATCCTTAACACATGCTACAAACTCTGCAACGTGCCATACATCTGCGACCACCCCGTGGAAGTCCTCCTTCTCTCGAACAACGAGCCCCTCCCCAACAACAGCACGGCAAATCGCGGACGACACTCAGTGATGGTCAACAACCGCTTCTCACGACCTCCAGATAGTGACAACGAGACGGACGATGGTCAAGCAGAAGACACAGCAGCGATACTGAGAAGAAGCGAAGACAGCGGCGGCATAAACGATGGCCGACTAGAATCACGGAACTCAATACAAATGATACACCGGGCAGTTGACACAAGAGATATGGTGTAGAATAGCATTGCATAGCATAGCATAGCATAGAACAACACAGTCTACCCAAAAATTGGCCTACGCACGATCATTCAAAACAGTACGTTGAAACTAAACCCACAATATCATTCACTCATCAACGCATTTGTATATCATCATCGTATCATCAGGTATTCCCTAATCCATCCCAGCAAACCGAACTCCACCAACAACACTCCACCTCATAACACCCGAAATAACACCCTTAAACAGGGCAAGTCTAAACACCACCACCTATCAGCATCTACCTCACACCCCAACCCCAAGCACAGGAAACAACCATACCTT